ATGCTGAGATAACAAGGTGTAGAGCTGGATGAACACAGCAGGCCAAGCAGCATCAGAGGAGCAAGAAAGCTGACGTTTCGGGTCTGGACCCTTCTTCAGAAAAATTTTCTGAAGAAAAGTCCAGACCCGAAACATCAGCTTTCCTGCTCCTCTGATGCTGCTCAGCCTGCTGTGTTCATCCAGCTGTACGCCTTGTTATCTCAGATTCTGCAGCATCGGCAGTTCCTACTATCTCTGAAGCTGGTAGATGCTGTTGTTTACCACAAGGGGAATTGAATTCAGAAGTCATCAGGTTATGCATCAGTAAGGGTGTTCGTAAGACAGCATCTAGAGTTCTGTGTGCAGTATTGGTCATCTTATTTAATGATGTAAATGCATTCGAGCCAGTTTAGAGAAGCCTTGAAAAGTTGAGCCTGAGTGCAAGCTGGAAGACCAACGTCTCATCTTACACTTGGGGACCCTGCAGCCTGTGGAACTCAACATCAAGTTCAATAAATTTAGAACCTGATTCTATCCTTCTGTTTTTTTTTATTCACCCTGCATCCAGTTGACATGGTTGCTTTTAGCGCTGCCAACCCATTTTCACCCACTCCAACAACTGTTATCACATTGCATGGTTTACTTTCAGCACAGACTACCCATTCTCTGCCAACCTGACCTCTCACTATCACTTCCTCTGCTTCTCTTCTGTCCTGGTTTGCCATCCATAATCCCCTCATTTGCCTACCCCTATCACCGCTCTCTGTCTCGCGCTGTCACTCGTTTGTGTGCGCTCTCTGTCTCTCGCTTTGTCTCTGTCTCTCGCTTTGTCTCTGTCTCTCGCTTTGTCTCTGTCTCTCGCTTTGTCTCTGTCTCTCGCTTTGTCTCTGTCTCTCGCTCGCTTTGTCTCTCTCTCCCGCTGTCTCGCGCGCGCTCTGTCTCTTCTCATCCCCAGCCCCCACTAACCTCATCTTTACTTGAAATGTTAACTCTGCTTTCTTCACACAGATGCTGCCACATCTGATTTTTGCCAGCAATGTCTATTTTTGTTTCAGATCTCCAACATCTGCAATCTGTGTTTTATTTTACTAGACCTGTACCTGGAATGGACAGATTGTCCAATGGGGAAAGGTTGGACAGCCTAGGCTTGTTATCTGCCGGAATTTGGAAGAGTAAGAAGCTACTTGATTGAAAGATATAAAATCCGAATAGTCTTGGCAGGATAGATATGGAGAGGATGTTTACTTTGGTGGGAGAATTGAGAAACAGGGTCATCTGTTTTTCTGAGAGGGTCATGAGTCTTCGGAACTCTTCCAGAAAAGATGGTGGAAGCTGAGTCCTTGAATATTTCTGAGGCAGAGGTAAATAAAGTTTTGTTAAGCAAAGAGTGAAAAATTATCAAGCGTAGATAGGAATATGGTTTGAGATTACAATCAGATCTGCATTGACCTTATTGGCAATGCAGGCTCAAGGGGCTGAGTGGCCTCCTTCTGATTCAAGAATTTGTATATGTTCCTGTAATCTGGTGAAGTCTTCAACATGAGTTATACCTTTCCTCTCAATTCTGTATTTATGAATTTCAAAAAGCATTTCTCTAATTTCTGAGCCAAAATCATTTATGGTAAACATAAAACAACAGTCTTTTCAACACACATCAGTGTGGGACACCACTTCCCATTTTCTGTCTGTCTGAGAAATTTTCCATAATTCTTACCTTCAGTTTCAGTTTTGTGGCCACCTTTAGATTGCTTGTACTACCTGGTCTCTGACTCCATATATTTTGGTGAAAAGTTTTTTCTCACAAGACAGCTAATCAAAACATTTCTGAGAGGTCATATGTACTGCATATACTGCATTGCTGTTCTCTTGTCATTTTCAAACTGCGTAGATTAAAAATATATCTGAAATGAAATTAGCATAATTCACCTTTGATTAGGTGCAAATTTGGGGAGGATGGTACTGCAGCAGCAGGGGGAGCTTTGCTTTCTAACTAATATCAAAGTTATCAGCGCTTAATATTGATACTTGGTACCAGAAATGGAGAATATAATATTCCCCAGCACTTCCTATACCTTGATGATTTGAAAAAAAAAACACTCTAATTTTACATCTGTTTATCTTTTGTCAACTGGTCATTTCTCAGAGCAATTCTCTGTGCTTACAATGTGAAAGAATTGAGCTTTAAAATCAAATGTTTTTTCCAGAGTGTTACTGGGTTTGGCCGGCAAATGATTGAGAAAACAAAGCAACTTGTTGAATCGAAGTACACCATTGCAAATGGCTACAAAGCAGATGCTAAGGTAGGAATTGGTCCATTTTCCATCTGAAGGAATGCAATGTTAATATGCACATCAGGAACATTATTGCAAGAACATGATATTCTCTTGGAAAAGACCACCTCTAACCATCTAGTCCATTCAGGCACTTGCATATTTTAAGTTTATCACCACCCTAGCTACCTCCGTCTTCCCAGTCTGTCAAAGTGGTGTAAACATACTAGTTACCATACATCCAACCTTTGCATTATTTTCTTGTTACAACAGAGGCTGGAAGAATGCACTATCACTGTAATGCCACTACGCTGGTTGCAAAATAAAAACAAATACTTTTTCCAGTTAGATGACCAATTAGATAACTGATCTATATCAGATTTTTTAAAAAAAATCTACCTATTAGAATGAATACAATTATGGGTTTAATTATCAAAACCTATTATTAAAACCTATTAAGGGTGCAGTAATTGGTTAACCTACTCACTTACTAGTTATCCTACTAATATTAAAATATAAATGCTTATTGCTCTAAGTGAAACAAGCATGCAAACAAACACCCATCAGGGAAGGAGGGAAACATTAGATTTCTTTGCAAAGATTGGCTTTCAGGAGAAATAAATTTAACTGATGAGTTGTTCTTGAAGGCAAAAGGATAAAGTATAGGTTGTTCTGGTTTGTGTCGTCAAGTCACTAATCATGCATGTTCAACACAGACACAGCTTGTTCAGGAAATACAATATTGAGATGTTCTTTCAATCCTACTTTTAAAATAACACAGCATTTTGATGATACAGAGTACAAATGTTATTTGATACAGCACCAAGTCAAAAAGACCAGAAGGTCCTGTGTTAGATTGTTGTTTCTGTTGACTTAGACGATAACTTTTCCTGCTTTCAAATTCTCCCTGCACCTTTACTGTACTTCTGTTTCACCCTGAGCTGATCAAGGGGGCATTCTTTTCAGAAATGGAAAGGATCACCTGCACACCTTGTTCATAGCAAGCTTCTGTCCAACTCATTGGTTCTTAGCTGGCTTTACTCCAACCTAGCTAGATAAAGCAAGAATCTATCCAAGGCAATGCATATCAAAAACATCCCTCGAATGTCCCCAGTGAAGTTTTAATGACTTCCTTTAAAAGAACTACTCCAGATATTCCCATGGGACTTGAAATAAATTCCTTTTTTCTACAGTTCTTTAAAACTTAAGTCCTCAAAGCAATGTTAAATATAAGATGCCCTTGTAACAGTACCAGTCTTCTGTTGGGTATATTCTAACTCGGTGCTTAGTTCTCAGATTGTAGGACTTGAGGCCTATCCAGGCAAATGATTTGAGGGGTTGGAGGTTACTAAGTTTCCTCTTGTTTTTATGCTTGCGTGAATTATGTTATGCAGCTTTCAACAATCGTGCTACTTGTTCTCATTCAGGTAACTAGGTTGCTACTTCCAATAATAGAATGAGAATTGCACAGAAAGGAGCAGGAAGTATGAATGCAGCAAGTGTAAGAGCAGCAAAGGAGAAGAGGGGGGTAAAGAGGGGGGAGAAATAAAAGTACTGTAAAGGGCAGGAAGAATGAGAAAGTGGGAAACAGCAATTGACAAGTCAGCTGCACCATTTTATATATCTGCTCTGTATCATCAAAGGGATTTTTTTTCGCTTTTATCCTAGTTCCTAATTTGTTTTTAATTAGGTAATTTATGGCGACACAGATTCTGTCATGTGTAAACTGGGAACTGAGACCGTGAAGGAAAGCATGGCTTTGGGTCGTGAGGCAGCTGAATGGGTTTCAAGTCACTTCATTCCCCCCATTAAACTGGAGTTTGAAAAGGTGAGTGGAAAATCTAGTATGAATTTTTGTTGAGCTTGATTTGGTAAAAATGGAAGTGAGGAGTCTGAGAATATCATGGTTTTGGGTCCATCCCAGTTAAGTCTGCAGTACCATAATATAAATGCAGATTCTCAGACATTTGTCCTTTGGGTATTAAACCTCTATTTCCTCTCTTTCAGAGTTTGTGACCAAATCTGGATCCTTTTTTGTTTTAAGAGGTTAAAATTGGTTGCACTCAATACCAAATCAAATGTAAAACCTAATTCAGAGTTATAGATGTGGCTCTTGAGCTGTTTTACATTTACAGCTTAAAATGGTGTAGACATTCATGCTTGTTTAGCATTCATGAGGTTGTTTTATAAAACTAATGAAAGTCTTTTAAATTTGAAATCATTTCGTTTATTGATTGATAAAAAGAATGTCAAGCATGAAACTAATGGCAATTTAATTCAAAAACTAATTTTTCTTTTCCCCTGCAGAAGTCATACTTTTTTCTTGCTTCTTTGTTTTGTAACCAACAGCTTGTGAATATTTGCTCCTTTGGATTTGGACTATATCTGAATTGTAGCTCATGCGTTATTGGTCACAATTTGGAGAGAAAGTCTTTGTTGGTTAAGGACCTCTCATACCAGCTGTGTCAGATGTGGCACAATTGTTAACATAGTTCCTTTGAGTCAAAAGCTTGTAGATTTAAATTCCCCTGTAGAGACCTTGGATTAACACCTGGTGTGATATAGAGGGAGAGATACACTGTTAATGTCTCAACCAAAGTGCAGAACCTTTAAACAGATGCCTTACTGGGCCATTGGCGAGGATGTAGGAAGGAGTATCCCATGTGGAAAGAAGAAATAGACTGGTCCTTTGTTTGCTGGTATTAAGAATGAGAGATGATCTCATTGAAACACAATTTTTTCAGGGCTCAACAGGATAGATGCAAGAACGTTTTTCCTCTGATGGGTGGACGCGGGAAGATAGAGAGTGTGGCGTTTCCCAGTCTGTAACCAGTAGGCACATTATTGGAATAAAGGGCAGGCCATTAAGACTTAGATGAGAAGAATTTCTTCAATAAAGGTAGTGAATCTTTGGAAATCTCTGCACAGGGGGCTTTGGAGGTTCAGTTGTTGAATATTTTCAAGTTCAGTAGAAGGGAGATTCCATCAACACGAAGGGAGACTGATACCACAAAAGAATGGTGTTGACGTAGAACATCTTCCATGAACTCATTAAATGATGGAGCAGACTTGAAAGGACTAAATTGTCTTTTGCTCCTTTTCTTTATGCAAAGAATGTCATGGCACTTCTTGAAGAAGAATTTGTAGTTCTTTCTAATGTCCTAGCCACTGTTTATCCCTTATTGACATACATTAAAACATTCTCACTGATGTGCACAGCACTTTGAAGCCAATGACCATAATTAAAATAGTGATGGAAAAGGATTGACTGGGTCTAAAAGTTAAAGTTCTACATTGGAGGAAGGCCAATTTTGACAGTATTAGGCAAGACCTTTCAAAAGTTGATTGGGGTGGAGGTTTGCAGGTAAAAGGATGGCTGGAAAATGGGAAGCCTTTGAAAATGAGATAATGAGAGTCCAGAGACAGAATGTTCCTGTTAGGGTGAAGAGCAAGGCTCATAGGTGTAGGGAATGCTGGATGCCTACAGAATTTGAGGTTTTGGTCAAGAATAAGAAGGAAGCGTAGGTCAAGTATAGACTGCAGAAGTTTAATGATTCTGTAAAAGAGTAGAAAGGCAGTAGGAGTATATTTAAGATGGAAATTAAGAGGGCACAAAGGGAACATGAGATAGCTTTGGCAAATAGAGTTAAGGAGAATCCAAACGGATTCTACAAGTACGTTAAGGACAAAAGGGTAACTAGGGAGAGAATAGGACCCCTTACAGATCAGCAAAGCCACCTATGTGTTGAACCACAGGAGATGGAGAGATGCTAAATGAGTATTTTGCATCAGTGTTTACTGTGGAGAAAGATGTGGAAGATACAGAATGTGGGCAAATAAATAACGACATCTTGAAAAATGTCCATATTACAGAGAAGGTGATGCTGGATGTGTTAAAACTCATAAAGGTGGATAAGTCCCCAGAACCTGATCAGGTGTACCCTCGAACTTTGTGGGAAGCTAGGGAAATGATTGCTGGGCCCCTTGCTGAGATATTTGTATTATCGATAGCCACAGATGAGGTGCTGGAAGACTGGAGGTTGGCTAATGTGTTGCCACTATTTATGAAAGGCGGTAAGGAAAAGGCTAGGCACTATAGACTGGTGAGATTGATGTCAGTGCTGGGCAAGTTGTTGGAGGGAATCCAGAGAGACGGGATTTACATATATTTGGAAAGGCAGGGACTGATTACGGATTATCAACGTGGCTTTGTGTGTGGAAATCAGCTCTCACAAACTTGATTGAGTTTTTTGTAAAGTAACAAAAAGAATTGATGAGGGCAGAGCAGTGAACGTGATTTATATGGACTTCAGTAAGGCGTTCGACAAGGTTCCTCATGGCAGACTAGTTAGCAAGGTTAGATCACACGGAATAGAGGAAGTACTAGCTATTTGGATGCAGAACTGACTGAAAGGTAGAAGACAGGGTGATGGTGGAGGGTTGCCTTTCAGACTGGAGGCCTGTTACCAGCGGTGCGACACAAGGATCGGTTTTGCGTCCACTGGTTATGGTCGTTTATATAAAATGATTTGGATGTGAAGAAAGGTATGGTTAGTAAGTTTGCAGATGACACCAAAATTGGAGGTGTAGTGGAGAGCGAAGAAGGTTACCTTAGAGTACAATGGGATCTTGATCAGATGGGCCGAGGGTTAGCAGATGGAGTTTAATTTATGAGGTACTGCATTTTGGAAAGGCAGATTTGCACAGTACTTGTACACTTTAATGGTAAGGTCCTGGGGAGTGTTGATGAACAAAGAGACCTTGGAGTGCAAGTTCATAGTTCCTTGAAAGCAGACTCACAGGTAGGTGGGATAATGAAGACAACGTTTGGAATGCTTACCTTTATTGGTCAGTGCACTGAGTATCGGAGTTGGAAGGTCATGTTGTGGCTGTAAAGAACATTGGTTAGGCTGCAATTGAATATTGTTTGCAATTCTGCTCTCCCTCCTATGGGAAAGATGTTGTGAAACTTGAAAGAGTTCAGAAAAGATTTACAAGGATATTGCCAGGATTGGAGGGTCTAAGCTGTAGGGAGAAGGTGAAAAGACAGGGGTTGTTTTCCCTGGAGCGTTGAAGGCTGAGGGGTCACCTTGTAAAGGTTTATAAAATCATGAGGGGCATGGATAGGGTAAATAGACAAGGTATTTTCCCTTGGGTGGGAGAGTCCCAAGACTAAAGGGCGTAGGTTTAAAGTGAGGGAGGAAAGATTTAAAAGGGACCTAAGGAGCAACTTTTTCTCGCAGAGGCTGGTGGGTGTATGGAATGAGCTGCCAGAGGAAGTGGTGGAGGCTGGTACAATTACAACATTGAAAAGGCATCTGGATGGGTACATGAGTAGGAAGGGTTTAGGGCATTATGGGCCAAATGTGGCAAATGGGCGCATTGGACCAAAGATTCTCTGTGACTTTACTGCATTCAAATTGGCTGTCATATACCCTACACCATGACAGCGATTGCACTTCACGGTGTTTAATTGGCTTTGGGATGTCCTGAGGTCATGATAGGCACTATCTAAAAGCACAAATTTTCTTAAAAATTAGGTGTTCAAATAGATCCTGCCTGAAATCTTAAGGGCTAAACACAAAGCTTGTATTCCAGTTTCTATGACCTTGCTGATGTCAGTTATTAATGCTCTGAAAAGCCCATTCCAAAACATGACCTAAAAAGTCAAACACAACAGGCGAGTAAATAAGAAATGCAAGTATAAGTCTTTCAAAAGCTGAATTGCCCTGTCTTATCAGTTAGGTCAGGTGCATTATTGAAACAATAAAATACATTAGTATAGAGTTTGATTTGCAATATAAATACTCCAACGCGCTTCATTAGGAAGCAAGAGACTAGGAAGAAGTGACTGAAATCTTGAATGAAGAGATGGATTTTGAGAAACTGAAGTATGAAAGAGATGCAGAGGTGAAGGAATGTCTAGAGGAAATCAGAGAGAGCTCAAGAAGCTGATGATTCAGCAACATATGGTGTAACATTGAGAGGTTGCACAAAACATTAACCCTTCTGAGGTACAGCGTCATGGGGTAATCGTATACAGTTGAAGCGATTGCATGAATAGATGAGACCATACAAGGATTTACAGAGAAGGATTTTCGTACTGGAGGACAGGAGTGCAGTTAAGATATTGTTTGGGGGTAAGGTGCGTGCTTTGGAGTTTTGGATACATGTGAGGGGTGTAGTATAGAGGACCAGCAAGGGAAAGGTTGGAGTAGTCAGATCTGGATGTAAAAAGGCATTAAAGGTTTTGGTTGAGCAGAAACATTGCACATCCACTTTGGGCCCTCTGTAAACTTGAGAATGTCCGAAGCTCTGTTGCCTGTGCCCTTACTTGTAGTGAATCAACTTGCTGACCTATATTGGCTCCCACTTAAGCACCATCTTTGTTTCAAAACACTCGTCCTTCCATGGCTTTGCATCTGTCTACCTTTCTAACTTCTCCAGCCCTACAATCTTTAGATATTTCCATGTTTCTAACTCGCTTCTCAAGCACATCTTATCACATCACCTTTGCTTAGTTTTAGAATTTGTTTACCAAACCTTTCCATCTCTTTACCTTTCATTCCTGTTTTAAGATTGCCATTAAAACCCTTCTCTTGACCAAACCTTTGATCATCTACACTCCTTGAAAAGTTCCATATGTGGCTTGGTGTCAGATTGTATCCATGAATACTCCTGTAAAACACCATGGAACATTTCAAGATGCTACATAAATATAGTTATTGCTGTTGTTCATAAGAGGTCTGAAACTGCTTGTGACATAAGACTCTAGTACAAAACGTCTGATTCAGTCTGAAGTAATGTCTGGGAAAGGAGAAGGAGGAATTGGTGTCAGGGAATTTTGTTTTTGAAGTGTGTCAAAGATGATCTTGATTATTCCAGAGGAAAAATTAGATTGACTAACCCTTCCCCTTTGGCAGATGGTGACAGATAATATTTCTACAAATCTCTGTTTTAGGTGTATTTCCCATATCTGCTGATCAACAAAAAACGCTACGCTGGATTGTACTTTTCCTCCAACCCAAATACCCATGATAAGATGGATTGCAAGGGTATAGAGACGGTGAGAAGGGATAATTGCCCACTGGTAGCCAACTTGATCAATACTTGTCTTCAGAAGATTTTAATTGACAGGTAGTTATGAATCTGTTTTATTTTCTATTTCATTCAATCTTGGTTTGGAAGATTCATTTCTCCACTGAGTATGGTTATGCGGGGTATATACACTGATGAAATTTGACACCTGAAGAAAGGGTTGATTGAAAATTGATAAGATGGTCACTAGATGCATTGTCCTTTTATCTCCAAAGTTGAAGATTGAATCCACTGAAGAAAGGGTGGATGGAGATACCGTAACCCATTATTAAATTTCATATCTTTAGAAATTGAAAGAGCTTCCAAACAAGACTAGTTTTTAAAAATATTTTCCTAAGAAATTGGAGCTCGTCCTGGTTTCGCCAATTCATTACTTAAACCTGTGCATCATTCAGCTAGATGCTGACACTTTGGTTGAATTTTGAAGTTGGCGCACAGTCAGAACGTTGCATTGGCTTGGATACGATAAAACATGTTTTCCTAGTTTGTGTCTGATGAGTCTTCAGTGCCCTTGTAAAAACCTCTTGGCAGTTAGGGTGTAAAGCAATTTGATTAGACCTGAAAACCCAAATTAATCTGAACCATGAAATTAGCTGTATGTTCGATATTCAGAGTGTCAAGTGGAAAGCGATGCAGCGTCAGAACCTGCACTAATGTCCTAAAACTGTGAAAAGGCGTGCTATTTCAGAAAGATTTGGAAGGCCTTTCATTGCTTGAGGTGTATCTGTCGCTGCAGAGCTTAGTGTGATTTCGTCCTCCTACTCTCGTCTTGCCCCCAGCCAAGAGATAGGCACTACCAGAGGTGTTTATGACTCAGCATGCCACCATATTGTCTGAAGGAGATACCTGAATGGGGATTAACATGCAAAACATGGAACAGATACCAAAGAACAAATGGCCTACTCCTGATCTTAATTTATATGTTTGTAATTCATCATTTGTTATGAAGGGCAAAGTATATTGCAGGGTTTCATTGGCTACACTTTTACTCCATAACAGGGATCCAGCAGGAGCAGTCGAGCACGCAAAAGAAGTTATCTCTGATTTGCTGTGTAATAGGATTGACATCTCACAGCTCGTGATTACAAAGGAACTCACAAGGATGGCTGATGAGTATGCAGGGAAACAGGCCCATGTGGAGCTAGCAGAAAGGTAATTTGATGTCTGTCTTCTCTTAAGATTTCTGTCTGTCTTGCCCCACTCCACCTTCTACCCCTACCCCTTCATTTACAGTTTTCTTGCAAATTTCAAGACTTGCTGGAACCTGGTTTCATGCATGTTGGCAGTCCTCTGGTACCTCACTGAAGTAGCCTTTATTATTGTATGAGGCTACATGGAGGTTGCCACCAGACCTGTGCATGCAGCCAAATCCAGTTCAGTTCATTAATGGCATCAATCTGCACATCTTTCTCACTAGGAAATTTTAAGACATAGGAGTCATGCTTTTATTTTCTCCCTAACTTGAGTGAAACTGACTGTCCTGCACAAGAACAGCAAATTTGGCACTGACCATCTGCTCAAAACTCAGTGCCTGGTATGTTTGTCAGTTCTGACTCAGTGAATGATGCTCTTGCCACTGAGTCAGACAGTTGTGGCTTCAAGTCCCACCCCAGGGACTTGAGCAGAGCACATAATCTAGAGTAGTATTTCATTGTGTTATAGGGGCGTGCTGCACTGTTGGAGGTGCTACCTTCTGGATGAGAAGTCAAACTGAATCTCCATCTACTGTCTCCTGAGAACCCAATAGATCCCATGGCAGTATTTGAAAGAGACCAAGGGAGTTTATCTGTCAAACTGAGATCACAGATTATTTGATCATTACTACGACTGATTTTGGAACCTGGTCCTACACAAATTGACTACCATCTTCCTCTTACAACAATGACTACACTTTTAAAAAAAACAAAAACTGCAGTGAGCTCTGGAATATTCTTAGGTTGTAAAAGGTATTATATGTACGAAAGTTCTTTCCTTGTAGCTCCTGAAGTGACTTAAGAGCTTGCATTGATCCTGATTTCCTGACTGCATTTTCTTACCAGTGCACGTGAAAGAAATGGTTTGAAGATTTCTCAAGTGACAGTGAAAATAGCTGTGAAATCCAGTTGTGTCTGAAGAGTGGTCGAATATGTATATGTGGGGAATTGAGTGAGTTGAGAGAGAAATGCCTATGGATGCTTTGGAATGAATTTCTTTTTGGTTTTGAATCTCCTACCAAGTTATCAAAATTTGCTTTTGAAAAGCTTAGGCAGATTTTGTTAGTACTGCAGTACGGAGTGGGAATACTGCATTTGGAAATGTGTTTTGTTTTGTTTCCAACGAGGAGCCAGAATCATTGACCTGTGTTTTGCAGGAAATGCAGAAATAGCAACTTGAGGCTGCGCCACACAGCAGCTGCAAGACCAGAAGCCGTTGCGCAAAATACAAAAAAAATGTTGCTTTGAGATAAAATTGCTCAGATTTCCTGTGACCAAGCGACCTTTAATATTTTTTTAATCTGAAGCCATGCTTGACGATGATGAGAGGGAGGGAGAAAATGAAATACCCATGCTTATATTTGTGGGGAAAATATTCAAATAGAAAGACTTACATGTTGCCTTAATGCATCTCTCCAATCTACTTCCAAGTATATCATACACAATGTATTGCTTTAAATTTCAGTAACTGTTGCGTTGACAAACATGATGACCAGTTAAATGTAGTAAGACACCACATAGAGTAGTGGTGGCCTATCCATGACCAGTGCTTAATGGTAATGGTGTGTACTATCTGTGAAGGTACATTGGAGCAAGGTTTCTTCATAAGCTCTTCCAAACTCTGTGACTTCTGCCATCAGGAAATACAAAGACAGCTTGCGCATTGGTGAGCCATCACCTTTAAGTTGGCCAAGTTTCAAATGTCCCAACCTGGACATGAATTGCCATTCTTTCAACGTTGCTGGCTTTAAATTCTGACACTGTACCTGAGATTGCAGAGTTCCTGATTGGTGTGGAGAGTGCATAAACTGTGACACCCAAGATATAACAGTTGTGTACGACAAGTTGGAAGGACTGGAATGTCTTTCCTGTCTGTTGATAAATTAGGGACAAAGTCAGAAGTCACACAGCACTAGGTTATAGTCCAATAGGTTTATTTGGAATCATGCAAGCTGTCGGAGCGTAGCCCTCGCACTCACTGCACCTGACAAAGGGGCCATGCACCGAAAGCTTGTGTGATTCCAAACAAACCTGTTGGACTATAACCAGGTGTTGTGTGACTTCTGACTTTGTCCACCCCAGTCCAATACCGGCACCTCCACATCATAAACTTGGGAAGTTAAGAATATGGGGAAAGAGTAGGGAATTAGGATTGACAAAAGTGGCAGCTGGCTCAGTGGTCTAAATGTTCTATTTTGTTATCTATGTTTCTTTAGTTTTGTTTTGAAAAAAGGTTTGATACCATTGATAAAGGCTCCCCTGATCAAATGTTCGTAAAGAAAAGAATTGAATCTTGCAATTGCTCATTGGCATTCTGTCCCTATCAGTTGGAGCCATGCACTCACCCTCACTCCCAAAGGCAGAGAGGGTCTCATGGATGCAGTTCACTGATTATGTTGATATAAAATAAAAAAAAGGTGCAGAGGTCACGCATCGTTAACAGCCTGGCCCAATCTCAACGCCCTTGCTCTTGTCTGCTCATGTCCGATGCAGGTGTTCGGGCAATAACGTCTTATTTTAGAATTAATCAGACCCACGCAAAGGATTATGGGACTTTCCTTTACACAGTTGTGGCTTCTTTGTGGGTAGTGGGTGATCGTTGTAATCAAGACTTGTCTATTTTTAGCATCATTGACACTATTCAATTTTTTTCTCTTTTGTTTTCACATAATCGCAAAGTTTATTTTGAGGTTCAATTTGAATGAGATTCCCTTCAGTCTATGACTTACATAGTAGATTTAGGACCCATCCTCTCACTTTGTATTTGAATGAGCCACTAACTTAGGGAAGCCTTTCTAAAACTTCAAAGACGTTGTTGCTTCAGAGTCCCCATTTCATTCCTTTGTGTCTAACCAAATCTCTTGAAATTCTGACTTTTGCTAGAATGTGCTTCAAAAAGACCTTATTGCAAGTCACGTCACATGTATCCTCTTTCTCATTTACTATTCCAAGTGCATTTTCTGTCATTAAGAATTGGGCTAGGTATTTTTTTGTCTCCTCTGCATTCTAACTCCCAACTCCATTTCCCTAAGCGTGATATCTTAGTTACCGCTGCAGCTGAAACCATGTAGCTTGGTACAGACCTGGAATTGAATCTGGTACCCTCTGGTCAGTTTAACTTTGAGTTTAATTTTATTAATGCAAGCCAAGACTATGTTCTGAAGAAGGGTTACTGGACCTGAAACATTAACTCTGCTTTCTGTCCGCAGATACCGTCAGATCTGCTGACTTTTCTCAGCAATTTCTGATTTTCTTCTGATTTCCAGCATCTGCAGTTTTTTAGTTTTTTTTTACTGCAACCAGAATTACTGCTTCTAGTTACAATGTTAATCTTCTTGTTGGAAAGATGATTGGATTGATGCATGATGCCTCCCAAATTTGATTAGCCTGGTGGTTGCTACCTTAGTTTATACATGACCAGTGAGTGCTATGGGATGGGGGAATGATATTAAATTAACTGCTCTGTAATTTCCTGCTTTCTGTTTTCCTTCATTTTGCATAAGAGAGTTCCATTTGCTATCTTCTAATCTAATGGTTTGTCTCTGAATCAAGGGAGTTTTGGAAAATTAAAGCTAATGCATTAATTGTTTGAGACGATTACAAGCAAATTAGACTAAGGAGAGCCAGTGGACCTGTTCTATCTGGATTAGCAGAAGGCCTTTGACAAGGTGCCGCACACGTGGCTGCTAAATAATATGAACCCATGGTGTTTCGGGTATGATGCTGGCATGGATAGAGGATTGGCTGACTGGCAGAAGGCAGAGAGTAGAAATGGCAACTAATCAAGCTCCACAGGAGTCAATGTTGGGAACACAACTATGCACGTTATACATTAACAATCTGAACAAAAGAACTGAGGGCATTGTTGCTAAGTTTGCAAATGACACAAAGATAGTTGGAGGGACAGGTAGTATTGAGGATGTGGGGAGGCTGCAGAAAGATTTGGACGGGTTAGGAGAGTGGGCAAAGAAGTGGCAGATGGAGTACTGTGCGGGAAAGTATGAAGTTATGCACTTTGGTAGGAAGCATAAAGGTGTAGACTATTTTCGAAATGGGGAAAGGTTTTGAAATATGAAGTACAAAGAGACTTGGAACCCCTACTTCAGGATTCTCTTAAGGTTAATATATAAGTTCATTGGCAGTTAGGAAGGCAAATGTAATGTTGGCATTCATTTCAAGAGGGCTAGAATACAAGAGCAGAGATGTACTGCTGAAGCTATTAAGGCTCTTGTCAGACCACATTTGGAATATTGTGAGCAGTTTTGGACCCATTATCTAAGGAGGGATGTATTGGTGTTGGAGGGGGTTTGGGGGAGATTTACAAGAATGGTCCTGGGGTCAAAGAGCCTGTCATATGATGAGCAGTTGAGGACTCGGTTGTTGGGGGGAGGTGGTCTGTACTCAATGGAGTTTAGAAGGATGATGGTAGGGAGCTCATTGAAACTTACAGAATACTGAGAGACCTGAATAGAGTAAATGTGAAGAAGATGTTTCGACTAGTAGGGGAGACTAGGACCTGAACGCACAGATCAGAGTGATGGGATGATCCTTTTAGAAGTGAAATGAATTTTTTCTAGCAGAAGATGGTGAATCTGTGGAACTCACTGCCGCAGTGGTGGGCAAGTCATTGAGTGCATTTAAGACAGAGAAAGGTAGGATCTAATTAGCAAGGGGATCAAGAATTACAGGGAGAAGGCACGAGAATGGATTTGAGAAATAAGTCCACCATGATCAAATGGTGGAGCAGACTTGTTGGACCGAATGGCCTAATTCTTCTCCTATATCTTATAGTCAATTATCTCACTAACCACGACTTTTAAGACTCTCAGATGAAGTCGTTCTGGACCTGGGGACATGTTAGCCTGTAGCTTCAACAATTTGCTCATTGCCATTTCCTTGTGATTTTTTTCCTGTTTCTCCCTCCCTTTTATTTCCTGATTTATCCCTGTTTCTGGGATGCTACTTATATCCTCAGTATAAACATTTTCAGGGTCTTTGTTATAAATAATTGTATCTGGCACTCAAGTTCTGGTCCACTGTCCTGAGAATCCAGTTACTGATCATTGTACAAAATGCAGTTATGTCTTCAGCTAATACTGATGTGCTTGTGAGATCTCCACTTTTAAATCAGTGGGAATGAGGAGCTATTTAGTAACAAAAGAAAATATCTTCAGTTTCCATTTAATACTATACAAATAATACAATCCTGAAGTACTCGTCTTGACTATTAAAATGCAATTCTGCCATGAAATACAGAATTTATATCTTTGCACCATGTTCTGCAGCGCTAGATTATGCGAGAGGAGGTCATACTCAACCAACTGGTCTGTAGTTACCTCTCAAACTGTCAAACTGGAGTCTGTCACATATGCAGACTGGTCTTGCAGACGTAAACTCATTTTCATCAACTTGCCAGCATAATTTGTAAGGCATTCTTGTGGTTAGCATTATCCTTAATTTGGAATGAAAATGTTTTCTCTTAAGTAGTAACGTTGATTGAAGTATTATCTCTGGTCACTATGTTTGTTCCACCATAGCAGAGTGTTGTATGGCCTAGTAATTACCAAGTCCCCAGAGTTTAATTAGAGAATCACAATTGATTTAATACTTGAAATAATTGACTGGAATCAACTTTTAAAACATATAATTGACTGGAAAGTTGTTTTGCAAGTGTGTTTTGATCCATTCCAATCAATGTCATACAGGATGCGAAAGCGAGATGCAGGCAGCGCACCGAATCTTGGAGACCGAGTGCCCTATGTCATCATCAGTGCTGCAAAAGGTGTAGCGGCCTACATGAAGTCTGAGGTACAAATGTTTCATTTTGTTTCAAAATTTGCTTGGTGCTGGCTAAGTCTCATCTATTACCAATTTGCAGCTTTTCTGTCAGCTTGAATGCTTTCACTTTGATCAGTAACGTCTTTTATGCAAGTTTTGGGTATGCAATTCCAGGATTATGAAGATTAACAATAAGATTGGAAGGTATCTTTTATTTCCTGAGGTCCCAAAGCACTTTCAGCCAATCAACTATTTTCAAACCTCAGTGGCTATTGTAATGTAGGGAATGTTTTGCCAAATGCACACAGTAAGATCCCATAAAAAAGTAATAACGCGATGACCAGATAATCCATCTTACTGATGTTGGCAGTAGAGGCATGGTAATTATTGTTCAACTTGAGGTTTTGGAGGGATCTTTAAGGTGATCGTGTTTCCTCATTGCTGCTACTTTACCTCGATGGTAGAGATTGCAGGTTAGTTGGTGCTGATATATTCACCTACATGAGTTGATGGTGTTTCACTGGTGCGTGGTGTTCCGTAATTGTAGCAGTGTATAGAGTTGATAGAGTTCTGTGGCCCGGGACTGATTAGCAAAACGGTTATGTCCTAGATGGTGTTAGGAAGTGTTGTAGCTGTACCTCTCCAGACAAGTGGCAAGTATGCCATCTCATTCTTGATCTTTGCAGGCTTTGAGTGATGAGCAGATGAGGTGTTTGTCCTGGAATGTGCAGCATCTGCCTTGTTCTTATCCTTAAGGTGTTTTGGTTATTTTTAGTCTGTATGTTGTAAGGTTGTTATTGTCCTTTTTTAAATTTCACTTTCTAATTCCACATCTTTTTGATGTTGGGAAATTCAGAGGGAGCTGCAAGCAAAGCAGACAATTGGAGAAACTATATAAAATGTACCCGTAGAGATTGGCTGTTTTGGTATAGAAGTATGTTCTTCAACAGCTGGTGGGCACTCATCCGTAGAAGACATTAGAGAGTGCCTGGTTCTCACTTGTCCAAGTTGATATGTATGCCACATTTTTCATCAGAAGTTGACAAATGGCAGGCAGGTTTTTGCCTCATTTTTCCTCTTCCATGCTGATATTTCTCTTATCGACAGTAGTTTCCTTGCAATAGAGAGGCTAAGTAAAATTCTTTCATAGGATCATCCTGTAGTGCTCCATCTATATTGCTCATGAGTGCAAAAGAATGGAGTCAATCACCCAAACGTGCAGTCTAAAATTTTATCCTGTTTCCAAATACCCACCCTCTCCAAAAGAAACATATTAGCATTTAGGGTGCATGCTAGAGAAGTTGAAATTAATGACAGTGCCTTCTGAGAGTGTTTTTGGGAACCCTCCTCATTGTGGTATGAACTACGCAGTGCTTGGGGAAGTGAGCCTTTGAGCACTTGTTCTCTTTTTTCAGTTTTGTGAAAGTATTTCCTTATTTTCTGAACATGTTTAATTGATCGCTTAACTTCCTCAGCTCAGAAAGAGAAAGTTCAGTGGTTTTGGTGTTTGTGTTGTATCAGGTGTGTTTCCCATCCTACAATAGTATAGGGGGATGCCCATAACAATTGAACCTAATAAGGCAAAGTTTCTGCACCTAGCAAGCAAACCACAAAGGAACTGTTTTTGTAGTCCACTGCAGCAAGCTAGGACCTATGAAATAAAAGGGCCATTTATGAGTTAGTAACAGAAAATACAGTTTGGAGCTGGAGGAACACAGCAGGCCAGACAGCATCAGAGGAGCTGGAAAGTTGACATTTCGGGTCGGGACCCTTCTTTCTGTTTGCTCTGCCCAATTTTATCCTCATGCTCTGTTTTCAGAAGGATGGCCCTCCTCTGGAATTTTTCACTTCCCAATTCAGGCATCCTGTAGTTACTCGGTGAGCTTGCCAGTTAGTCTGGTGCTGAGGGTCTGTGTCAGTTGGTAGCTGGATTGAAACTATGGAAATTCCTCAATTCTTTTCACACAAAACCTTCCCAGCTTTCATGAGATGAAATATCTTTAACAGCTACTTAAGGGTTTGTGCAGAAGAATCGCAGGGGTACGAAGTGTCACATTTTTGCAACGCAATTATGTTCATGATGGACTTTTGAAGATTTAATTTCATAATCTGTTGAATGAAGAATCAAACAAAAAGAATATAAATATTGTTGTGAAAAATGCTATCATCATAAGTACAACTAGATAAAAATATAATAGGGTTGTTAAGAAGGCGTTCAGCATGCTTCATTGCTCAGACCGCCGAGTATAGAAGTTGTGTCATTATACTAAGGTTATACAGGACATTGAGACCTGTTTTCGAGTACTGAGAGATGTCTGGTCATCCTGCTATGGGAAGGATATTATTAAATTGGAGGGGGGAGAGGGTCAGAAAAGATTTACCAGGATGTTGCCGGGAATAGAGGGTTTGAGTTAGAAGGAGAGGCTGGATAGGCTGGAACTCTTTTCACTGGAGCGTAGGAGGTTGAGGAGTGACCATATAGAAGTTTATAAAATCATGAGGAGTATAGATAAGGTATAGATAGGCTAGGGTCTTTTCCCTAGGGTGGGGGAGTTCAAAACTCGAGGGCGTATTTTTAAGTTGCGAGGAGAAAGTTTTGGAAAGGACATAAGGGGCGCATTTTTATGCAGAGTGTTTCATGTGTAGAATGAACTGCCAGAGGAAGTGGTGGATGCAGGTACAGTTACAATATTTAAAAGACATTTGAATAAGTACATGAATAGGAAAGGTTTGGAGTGATATGTGTCAAATGCAGGCAAGTGGGACTAGTTTAGTTTGGGGAGCTTGGTTGGCATGGACTAGTTGGACCAAAGGGTCTATTTCCATGCTGTGTGATTTTTATGACTCAATCTGTGCAGAGCTAGCTGTTCTCATTTGGGCAGGAATTAGTCCCTGGGTGTGATGAGATTGGGGATTCCATTCTAGGATCCCCTTTCAGACATCCTCTGCTGGGCAACGTGTACGTTAGTCGAAGATAAGACCATAAGAAGTAGGAACAAGATTAGGCCGTTTGGACTCTTGAGCGTGCTCTTCTGTTCAATAGACTGTTTCCACTGCAGCTGCTCCTTGGTGGTGCTTCCACAACAGTGGGGTATAGGGAATTACAAGAATTTGCCACAACTGGTGGATGTTAAAGGACAACAATTCATTTCTGATTCCACATGGTTTGTAACTTGAGGGGGAATTTGGAGGTGATATTATTATTCAGGTTCGTTGGTAGAACTAACAGGTGAGGTGTTGAGGTATCCTTTCTGAATTGTAGCAGTGGATCCTGAAGTTTGAACATATAACGGCCATGGTGTGCTAGTGTGAACCAAGTGTGTTACTAAGGTCATTAACGTTGCACTGATCCAGTTTTATTCTGGATGGTGTCCAACTTTGAGTGTTGCTGTTGTAATTGCACCCTTCTAGGCAAGTGATGGTGAATATTCTGAAGTCTTGTATGTGACAGAGAGATCCTGAAGAGAGCAGGATTAAGTTAACTGCTAAGTACTTGACCATTTGGATTGCTCCTCTCAAAAACTGTCTGCAAATTTACTGCCATTGTGAATCTCCTCCTCTGCACTAGCCTTTTCCTTCAAGTCAGTTAGTGAAGGAGGTTCTGTGGATCTTAGACAACTAGCTTTGAATCTATTCCAGAGCCAGTTAATCTCCCCTACCAGTTCCTACTCCCTTACTCTTAACCCCAGGCAGTGGTCACTCTTCCCATAATGATCCTGAATTGCCCTGCCCTCTCCACCACCACTGCAAAAATGTACCCGCTGCACACACCCCTCCCATGCCCTTTGGAATTCTTGGCTATTGTCTGTCCAGCCAATGTCAAAACAGTCATCAGCATTGTTGTGGGGCTGATCAGATTGAGCTTTTTTATAAGATTGAGAGAGTAAGGTCTGAATATATCAAGGTGTGAAGGAGGGATGTGTCGGGTGTTGAGGGGGTGAGGGTGAGCACTTGTGGTGGAGTGAAGAAAGGGGTTGAGCAGTAAATAAGTAAATGCTGGTCATGAAATAATGAGTAATTGTAGCTGTTATTTTTGAAAATGTTTTGCTGTGAAACAGCTGGAAGTTACATCATTAACTCCAGCTTTGTGATGTTTAAACGGAATACGGCTAGTATTGGCATGAAAGAGTGAGCTTACTTGCTTTCCCTTGACTATTCTGCATCACAAGGAAATAGTTGGATTCCAGGTACTTTCCACGTTTCTGAAGAAGCCTGGATTGGAAGTCCTGCCAGAAATGTGGAGACTGTGCATAGTTAAAAAAAAAAATTGTAGGAACAGTTCATACTCCTCAGAAGAATCAGGCAATGATTTATTTTGATTTAAGCTTTCTGTTGTAGAATTTTGTTTCCAATTTATAATGATCCTTTATGCCTTCTCATTTCTCTCCCTCAAGGATCCAATCTATGTTCTGGAGAACAACATTCCAATTGATACGCAGTATTATCTGGAGCAGCAACTTGCAAAACCGCTTCTGCGAATCTTTGAGCCCATCTTGGGAGAGACCAAGGCAGAAGCTGTGCTCCTGAGTGAGTGAACTTAAACCTTGCAGCATTAATCTCATGCGGTGACTATTGTGGAATTATTAGTCTTATTGAGCTGGTTTGTTGTTTTTCTGCAGACGTTTCATTACCCTGCTGGGTAATGAAACGTCTGCGGAAAAAACAACGAACCAGCTCGGCAAGCCAACCAACCACAGCATCCATAATCCGAGCTACAAATCTACTCTGAAACCTTAGAGTCTTATTGACCATACCTTTCTGGCATAGAATTATTAAGTTCAGTGACAAGTGTTTTCTTCTTTGTTAGAAGTGAATCACCAAATACCAATGGTTTAGTGTAAGTCTGAAGCATACATCCTTATTTTGATTATTGATTAAGCCTGTTGTCTCTTATAATCCCTACCCTCTGCAAAAATACTAAGAAAGTTGTGCCCTTAATTTTTTTTCTTCTGCTGGCTTTGTTTGGATGACGCCCAATGAGAAATCAAGAAAACCCACTTCTTTTTTCCCTAAAGGCACTAAGTGATGTTGGGTGTATTGTACCTGGTTCAGGTGGTTACCTTCATTTCTGAGTTTAGATACTGACGATTAGCAAGCTGTTCATCTGAGGAGTTGAAGTCTAGCTTGATCTGTCCTCATCTGAAAGTATGGAGACTGGTCAAAGTAGGAACTCTGACTTTTCAAGGCAAAATTTTTTTTTTAAAATACTTGGATGTAAAGAAGCACATGCTGCTAATCTAGCTGATTCACCACAGACTGGGCTGTGTGTTTAGCTGCAGCTTTTAAGGAGAGATGTTCATAAATTAAGATTGCATTTGAAAGAAGCTAGCTGAAGGCACTCCTTACTAAGTTTTTGAGGGTCTTTCCCTCCCCACCCTTATCTGCTTTCCGGAGGGACAACTCTCTCCGTGACTCCCTTGTCCGCTCCACACTCCCTTCCAGCTCCACCACACCCGGCACTTTTCCCTGCAACCGCAGGAAGTGCTACACCTGCCCCCATACCTCCTCCCTCACCCCCATCCCAGGCCCCAAGAAGACTTTCCACATCAAGCAGATGTTCACCTGCACATCTGCCAATGTGGTATACTGC